CAATGCTGAGGTAAGGTGCAGAGTTTTGAGTGACCGCGGTCACCCACTGGAGGAAGTGGTGGACCTCTATAGATTACGTTTGTTGGGGCGTGTTACTCATGTCAATAAGCAGGTTTGCACGCCGCATGATGTTTGCCGATGCAGATAGTGAGTGGAAAATGACCGAAGGTGGTTAAACTAAGAGCAGGAACGAGAATCAGTCACATAAAGGCCGGGGAACTTGGGATGATCGTAACCGGTGAGTAGGAAACTGCGTTATATGGCTGAATGTCGTAAACAGTGGCGTTCGTACATCTCCTCAATTTGTCTACAACATTGGATCACTGAAATTCTAAATTTTCGCTTCAATCCTGCTTTCAGCCTTTCCTGCCTTTCTCCTAATGTTCATCCACGTGGGCAGTTAAAGGACAGCAACCAAAAGCGGCAGACGAAAGTGCAAAGTTCACGAACGCATTTCCATGGTTGTTATGGTCTTGGTTGCGTAGACATTGTGAATATCAAGCAAAGATCAAAGTTATTCACCATATGTACATAAGTTATTTCGTCTATTTGATGCCGCATGCGGTTTTTGTAAAGGTTTTTGCGATTTCTAGAATCCAATGAATACGGTATGTACTCTTCCTACTAGGCTCTGCATTTCGATGTCACGAAAAGTGATTTCCAGGATGCACATATGTGGATAAGCATGATATACCTGTGCATCTGCCTCGGTATTTGCGCTCAGAACGTTCAATACGCGAACAGCCTCCCTGGAAATGCGAGACATAACTCGGGCGTTCTCCCGTACGATAGACAAAGGAATCGCAGTTGATTCGCTGAAAGATTCGGCAAAGTAATCTCTTATACGGTAGATCAACGAGGAGGTTCCCAGATTGGGGGCAGATCTGAAACCGAATGGAAAAATATATTTAGATATGTCAGCATATATTCCGAGTGAAACGACCAATATGAACTGTGGGGGTAGTTCGCATGATTAGGACTCCAAAATACCCTAGGATGGTGTGTAATGCTTCATTCTTCCTCCCAAGAAGTCTTCCCATACAGTACGTTCTTTGAAGCACCTACTGAAGATGATTGATGATTCAACACGTTACCAACTACAGAGAATTGGCAAATGTGCCACAACATATGATCAAAAAGAAATCTGAAGAATGTGTTCATAGGTTGTGTGGGCAGGTTACATACAGGTTGCCTTGGCCGAGGAAAGGGGATAACCTCGGGGTCCCCACCCGAAGCCTTTGGCTAGAAAGCCAGACCGGTAAGACAACAGGACGGAGCTTAGGGTCCGCAGTCCATTGGGGGCCGGTGTCCAGCTCATTGGATCATACACCCTTTGGACGGGGTTAAGTGCCCAAGATGCCCGATACACCTTGAGGCCCAATTGAGCCGGTGAACACTGCCGCAACCAGGACGGTTTGCGCGTGGTTCTTACGCCTCTTCATGGTTGGTTTGGAATCAGGGTTTTAGCCAACTCCCGTTAGTGAATGGTTCATCAACAAGGTTATAGCCCCGGATGTCGGCCTCTGCCTTTGGTGGGAAAACACCTTGGCCACAAGAAGGCAGTAGAGGCTATTTGAGACACTTGGTCATATAGGAGCATTTCGCGAAGTGTAAGGGAATGGGGGTCAGTCACAATCCGAGACACCCACCCCAACCCTACTGAGGCTTTTGGAAGCATATACTAGAAAATTCCTACTCACTATAACCGATAATCAGAATGAAAACCTATAACCTGGTTGATCGGGGCGGGTGGCCAAGGTCACAAAATTACAGAACTTACCCCACACCCAAAATGGTCAGAATAGGATCTTGTGCAGATACTCCACCTTGATGATGCTTCCCCACGTGATAGGCTACAATAGAGAGATGGTACAGATCAGAAAACGACACTACTGAAGACGAAAAACCGCTATCGCGGAAAGCACTTACAGACGACTGTGGCGGTGGTACTGGTGTAGCCCACATCAAAAAACATGAAAAACTGCGACGATTCATTGAACGATTTGCGTCGGGAAATACCGAAATCGAGAGCCACTGCCGTGTTCACATTAATTAGTTGTTGAAGCTCTAACCCCGCAATGCGGACTGCGCGAATTAGGCTCTCACGTTCATTCAGACCGTAAAAGCTAGGAACGGTCAAAACGCAAGTTTTGATCGTCGCTTCTAAAAAAATAGAGTTATACGGAATAGGTGTTAAAATGATATCCAGTAAAGAAATAAGTACGAAGCAGCAAGTTAAACGGACGCACTTTAGAAAAAAAGACTTTAAACAGTAAACGACTCAATAGAGAAGTGGTACAGTAAGTAGTATTTTAAATGACTACACATATCTTCCCTGAAAAGCACAACCAGTTTCGCGGTTGTTAGCGGTCTTCAGATATACACATCCATCATCAGTATCGCTACCAAACTCATAAAGCATATAAGGTAAATGTATAAATGTGTAAATGTATAAGGGTAGAAATTGAGCTTATTTTTAGGGACGGGGGAAAGAAAGTGAACCTCTATGGTCAAGCATTCCGATCTGATAACAACTGACAAGGACGCCACTGCTGTCGATTTAGTCCCATGATTTTCAATGCCTCCAACCATCCATTTGCGGATTTTCTTGGACCCCGACCCGGAAGATGAAAGACACCTACTTAACCTAATCGCTCTGTGCATTTCTTCACGCTTTGTCTCCACTTCATCTGCTGACCGTTAGATATAGGCAAAGTATCCCAACCAACGGAGCCTATTGAGCTGATTTCTATACGACAGCGAGTTCTTGTTCAATTCCCCAGCACTCCACGACTTACTTCTTGGCTACTAAACCGCTCACTCCATCCCACCTGGGTCAGACCACGCACGCATCGACTGTCGAATACCATTAGACAACGGATGTTTTTCACAAGCAAATTCAAGTTCTCACAAACGTAGAGCAGAACCGATCGTGCAGTCGAGCGGTATACACGACCTTTAAACTTGAGTGAAAGATCACGTCATCGCCACTGGTGTTCTAGTTCTGCGTACGCCTTGGAAATGCATGCGGTTGTCTCCTTTGATGCGATACCGTCAGTGGTCACGCAGCTACTCAAGTACGAGCAGTCAGATTCAGCCAATTCCTGGTCATCTAGTTACAGAACGGCACTCGGTGACACTCACCCTTGCAGTTACTTTGCAATTTGAAGGTTTAAAGCGCATGCCGAAGGGAGCAATGGAACTTGCTAGTCTAAGTGCATCTTGCGCATACTCCACACATTCGAAAGGCAAACGAAGTCGTCAGCGTATTCCAAATCGCATAGCCTTCCGCCAGCTGTCCGTTCATTACCTATATTTTGGAGACCACTTAGTGCTTTACCCAGTATTAGTCTATGACGAAATTGAACAGGAAAAGCGAAATAGGGCACCCTTGACAAACACCACTCCCGCTGTGGAACGATCTACTCAGCTCTTGAACACCATTACGCTACCAGAAGTATACCAGTAGAGTGATTTCAGTAGGTCAACATACTTCAGCGGCATTCTTTCTCGAATAAGCGAACCCTGAAGGACTTCGCAGTCAACGAAGTAGACGGATCCTTTTAGATCAAGGAACACGACAATCGTTGGTCGGTGGTCTGTATAGCGTAGTTAGAGAACCTGAAGCAACCTGGCCGGAACCCTGCTTGTTGTTCACGGATATTTGTCTCCCTGAAGGACGTCAGATGTCGAGGTATGACGGAGGCTAACACTTTGGTGGCGATTGGGATCAAACTTATCCCGTGGTGCTTTGCAGTCGTAACGAGATCTCTTCTTGAAAGTTGGAACGACCAGTTAATCACTCCAGGGTAAGAGAATGTATTCTTGTGACCAGATCACCGTATAGCGATCAGATGTTACGCATTAAATCAGAGTGGTGGTGGCAAATTGGTTTGGTCGATGTCAGCGATGTGCTTTGGACCCTATGGTCCGAGTTTCAATACCCGCCACCGCCACCCAACTTTGGCGGTAGGCAGCTTTGCTGTCGCCCGGTTCAATACCACGCCTAGACTAGCGGAGCCTAATGTGATTCGCCACTCAAAGTCCCGAGACTTAGGTTACCGGCTTCTATCACTGAACAGCAGGTCCTCGTGACTATGGGGTTTTCCCCGTCTACCACACTACTCGTTCACATACTAATTCAGAGCCTCTCAAACAGCTGTTTAATTCCGTTTCGTTTACCTGGAAGCGCGCTGCTTGTTCGCATTCTATCAATGTCATGATCCGATACACCGTGTGGAAAGCAATATTGTCTATCGGGTGGCCCTCCGTTGTAGTCGTTGTAGTCCACATTACTGTCTATCCATCGTTTATCTCAGCACTGAGCTTACTCAAGTAATCATCTAGTGTAGTGCTATATTTCTAGAAGTTTAGAAACTACACAGATCGTACGTATTGACCGTTTCCCTTCACTGAACTAGACTTATTCTGCATGCACTTCTTCAACTCGTAACCTAAGTAGCAAATTAGCTAGTCCAATTAATTGAGATCTACCCCATGATGAACGGGAAGAAAACAATACCGGTGGTAGACGGTTCCGCCATCACCCGGCTCACTACCGCGCCTGATCTATTGAATCCTTGCGGTTCGCCACTCCAAGTCTTAGGATCATCGTCACCGATTTCTCACAATATAAACGTGACAATAACAGATCGCGCATGATTTCGCCCTCGCGCTGGCTTTATGCACTCGCAACGCGAACACGCCCTCAACACACTCACCACCATAAGCGGACTGAAACGCATTGATCTTGTGCACCCCCCCCCCTCATCATCCTTTTTTTTGATCGAGAGAGAAATCTCCTCCCCGTCAGACACCACTCATCTCCAAGTCTCAGACTGCACTTCCCACTCGTTTCTATTCAATCTGGTGTCAGTACCTTTATCCATCAATCAGTCACCGTCTCCAGAGTACGAAACTATGACTTGTACAAGAGTGAATTTCGGCTGATCTGGCTGAGGCTCCGACTTCTTTCTTTTAGCCATTACTTTCGTGTTCTACATCGTTCCCCAATAATGGTGACTCCTTCTCCATCGTACATATTTTATCTACGAACATTGAACACTTGTTTGCAAACGATCCCAACAGCCATATTACCATCTAGGGAGGTTTCAACGCGCATAATCAGGAATGGTTGACATATTCATCCGATACTTCTTTGGGGCGCGAAGCCGAACATTTATCTTTGGTGAAAAACCTGAGCCAGCTCTAGTTGACCCCACACACGCGTCCTTGATCGAGCTATCGACCAAACCCATACCCCCGATCTAATTTACACTTCCGCTCCTTCTCAGATAGGTGTACTCTCTATCCTCTTGGCTTATCGGATCATTACATCGTTTCTTGTTCTACCAAGTTTATCGGTCCCGAGCGGCCACAAACCTTGACACACTTCTGGCGCAACTCATCTAAATGGGACGGTTTCTGTGATTTCCTAGCTTCTTATCCATGTAACGACTGTTGATATTACTATTTGGACGTTTCCAAATTTGTTTTAACTTCAACTACATTGTTCCTCAAGGAACGCGTCTTTTCATTCTGCACTTTATCAAACTGGACAAATACAAATCCCCCAAGTGGTTTAAGCATGTATGTGCTCGCGCTGTACGCCCCCAAAAGCTCAGCCTTCCACCTGTCGCCCATTACCGACTTCCACCATCGCTTCGTGTGGGCTAGGAAAAGATGGTCGACAACCATTAAGAGAACCAAAGAACGCTTCGTTCGCTGTAAGGCCGATACCTTGGTTTCGTTCACCACCGGTAGCCGAACATTGCCAAAGCAACTTCCCGTAATTTCTGTCTTTTCAATTTTCTTGCTATACGCAATTTGTCTGGTGGTATTTTATGTCAACCATACGAGAAAGCTGAGGTTTTTGCTTCTCAGTTTACCGCCAACTCCACCTCACCCAATCATCCTATCCCTCCACCTTTTCCCCATTCCACTGGCAACCGTTTTCTACCTCATGTTAGCACGGGAAAATTCGACAAACATCGCGCTCTCTAAACGCGAACAAACCACCTGGCCCAGAAGTTATTCCAGTCATCGTCCTCACGATGTGCTCCCATCTTACGTCGTCTTTTAAGTCTTTTCCTCCAACTTTCCACTTACTTACTTAGTAAGCGAACCATCTCCGTGCAATTTGATGGCGTTACATCTTAACCGTTCCCTGCGAATGCTGACGTTCCTCAGGGTTCGGTACTTACGCCCACTCTCTTTCTTCTATTTATTAATGAAAACTCTCAACCCACTGCATTATTTTGCCGATGGCAACACCCAACACTGCCCCCACTTCTAATCGCACAACTTGCCATGTCCAAACAAACATCTACCGTGACCGTAGTGCAGTCTTTTGTGTCGAACTCTGATCTCGAACACATCTCCTTTTGGGGGAAATGTTAAACATGTTTTGTTTAATTCTTCCAAGACCTTTCTTCCCACTTCTCTAAAACACCAAACATTCCACTCCCTTCCTCCTTATCTTTGGATTCCACCCAACTGCGTTCCACAAACTGTTTTTCTTCTTGTTCATTGCTTCTTTATGCCAGTCCCCTATCACGGCTAAACTTGCTTCCCGTACTGCGCACAAGGTTGGATTTTTAATGCGCACCAGACAATTCTTCACCCCAGCTCATCTACTAACCAAAGTTCAAATCCTCCCTGCTCTTGAATACTGCAGTCACATATGAGGTGGAGATTCGTCTTCTTCCCTTTCTCTACTCGGTCATCCGGCTGATCAGCGATTCTTCCCTAAAATCAAACCTGCGGTCACTAGCCCACCATCGGGGAGTTGTTTCATTATCCTTGGTTTGTCGTTACTACTTTGATTTTTGTACTTCGGAGCTTGTCTCGATAGTGCCTCTTCCAATAACTTTTGCGCACCCATCCCAGAAACAGGCATATAGTCATCGTTATCAGATTTAGGTCCAAAGATGTCGTACTTCCCTGCTCCAAACTTCTTTTCTTCACCGAACTGCAAAGTTGTGGAACACCTTTTCACTTTCCGTCATTCCCCCCAAATACGAACTTAAACGGGATCTTATGTGAATGTTAAGCTACTCTCCCTTTTAAAGTATGCTCTTTGTCTATGAGGATTTCCCCTTTTAGTATAATTCATATTATGTACTAAAAGGTGGCAATGATGATAACCGAGAAAGCTCTTTATACGATGCACTTAACAGAGGGAATATAGCCTGCCGAAAAATTACCGGACAACACACTGACACCGGACAAAGCAACCTATCATCTCCGCACATAGCGGCAAAACGTAGAATTGAAGCCACTAGTCTATGTAGACGGAAAATAAACAGCTTGAGGAATTTGAAACAAATTTTAAGGTGCGGAAAACAGAATATTTGTATGAGTGTTCACAAACCTGAGTGGCTTTCTGCGATATCACGAGCATATTCAAGAAGCATTGCCAAGAGCTCCTCAACCGTGAAGGACATTCCCTCCGGATGGTGGAATATCAACTGACCAGTGAGCTCGTCATACGTTAGATTGTGATAAGGATATCGCTGTCGATAAAGCTGTACTGTCGGGTGGTCTATATGCTTTCCGATTATGGAGGAAATACTTTGGTACACGTAGGCTGGACGCATAGATGCCTGGAAAGCCAAGATGAAGGAAAATGCATTATCTTTTGAAAGCCTCACATTGGAACATCACCGTCGTCGTACGAGGATTGTCACCCACTTATGAGAAAGACTTTCATCAGAATTTTTCTGTAGTGCGATATTGAATGGGTTTCTCTAATCGTAATTCATAGATATCGACCATACTTACCATACTACTATACTTAAATTGCTGAAAATTTACCCCCTTGGATGCATCAAACATTTCTGGACTTGAGTTGACTTAAATGAAGGACGATAAAACGAACAGTTTGAATAGTTTCGCGTAATTATGGCGATTGACCAAACAGATTATGAATCCCGTTACGAAAGGCAGTTATTGAAACTGTAATCAGTTTAATTTCCACATTGATCCGAGCTAGTTTTTAGTGATCTTTAGGTTGCATATTCAGTCGAACATGGAGGAAAGAAGATGCCAAAGCACTTGATACATGCAGAGTGAACCGCGGGTCTTGTGTTTCGGAGACAGCATACGACTAAACTGAAATTTCAAGGGTTCTAGATAAGGCAGTGTTTTGCTTATATGATAGTGTGCAGACATCGAATATGGCCAAATAAAGATATTTCAGATTCATTAATCTTACAGCTTCAGATTGGTTAACCTTAGTGGTTAAACGCTGAGTGATATCCCATAGTTGGTACAAACAGAGAGTATATTTCTAATGATTTGGGAGAAAGATCTCAACAGACGAGATTTTTCCCTGGGACTTTATGGCACGATGTTTCTCGATAATCCACACCAACGGAGGGGGGCTGTTTGGTAAACCTGGTTGGGGCGTTCGATCCAATAGCCTAATCCAGGCAGTGGGTGAACAAAGGGTGAACAAAGCACCCGTGTGGGCGCTTTTAGAGATATTTCACTCGAGGTGTATCCTACGATCACATCAGAGCTCCATGAGACACCAGTCATTAGTCTGTAACTCGCCGTTTTATTCGTCTAAACAACCTCCCATTTCCCATGTAAGATCGATCTGTCATCTCTCAATGTGCTGTAAAACTAGTTAAATTTAGCTCTTCAACAATATTCTGATCCAAGCCCAGGCCATTTAAGCGAATTATTCGACTCTGAAGGCGCTCTACTTCCTTTGCCTATAATTGTTACCTGTTGGCAAAAATCGATTAACACTCACGTGCTATATTTATACTTGCATGCAGTGATAGACTGCTAACACAGTTCGTTTCTTCAATCGATTTTCCATTCTTGGATTCACAACACATTTGTGTGGTAAACAGCAGACGGGGCGAACCCCATAGTCACGAAGACCGGCTGCTCCGTCGTGGAAACCGGTACTCTAAGCCCCAGGACTTGGAGTGGCGAACCACATAAGTCCCCGATAGGTTAGGCGCAGTATTAAACCGAACGACAGCAAAGCTGTCTACTACCAAAATACCTCCATATGTTTAGAGCGTGGTACTTCATTTACGTGACCCGGGAAAACACTGCATGGCAAATAGACTGTGTCGTACAACCCCACGCCAACGATCGGGTTGAAAAATAAGGAATACTGCAAACGCAACATTGCTGAGATGAAAATCCCAGATGCTCTACTTAATGCCCTAAATTCCAACGATGGCTGCCCTGCAGTCCCACACGAACGCTCCTTTGGTCAACGCTGCAAATTCACCTTTGGAACGTCTTTGTCAAGCGTATGAGTTGCTCTCGGCAAAGTGCTGATGCAAATGTACACCAGCCCACACACCAGCCACGCCCGTTAGCTTCCCGGACGGTACAGAAGAAAACATTGGTAGGTCAGCTGGCTCATCGGAGAAAGATCCCTCTGTCTAGTCGATTATTAATCATATACATCATCATCATCATCGTACAGCGAAATACAGTGAGGTGAACTTCACTGATCGCTGTCAAACTCACAATGTATACAAGGTTAATGGTAAAACTTAAGGTGGACGGATTGGACCTATTTTGAGGGAAGGGGAAGGTGAATCTTTATGGTCAACACATAGAGTACGCAATCAAACTGCATACCTACCGTTTCAAGCATTCTGATCTGATAAGAAACGACAACAGGAACGCCACTGCTATCGGTTCGCTGCCATATTCTGCAATGTCTCCAACCAACCAGTTATGGAGTCCTTCGGAAGCCGTGAGACACCTACTCTACCTAATGGCTCTATGCATTTCTTCATACCTCGTCTCCGCGTCGTCTGTTGACCTCCACGTGGTCTCCTCCAGCCCGGATTAGCTACAGCGAATAAATCGCGGTGCGGCAGACGACAGCTGGGCATACACAATACGTGCCCTAGCCAGCGAAGCCTACTAATATGAATTCGGTGTGCCAGCAGGTTTATCCCTGATAAACTCCCAAACACACGACGGCTTATCTGCAGATTACTAACCCTTTCGCTCCATCCCACATGGGCTCGATTACGGAAACACCGATAATCGAAAACTTACAGTTGATTCGCAAATTCAGGGTCTCACAACCATAAAGCAGAACTGGAAGAACGGTGGCACTATAACCTATGACCTATGACCTTTTAACTTCAGTGAAACATCCCCTCTAAGCCAAAAGTGTTTCAGTTCTGTGTTTGCTGCTAGAGCCTTGGAAATGCGGAAATGCTGCCTTACCATCACCGGGCACGCGAATACTAAAGTAGGAAAAGTAATTCACCACAACTAAATCCTGGTCCGAGTGGGAGAAAACCAGTCCTGCAGCAGCACTTGGCACTTTGAAGGTGCAAAGCACATACCGAATGTGGCAACAGCAATTGTTAGCTTATCAAGTGCGCTCTGCGCGTCCTCCAAACATTCGAACAGACAGACGATATCATCGGTGTACTCCAAATCGCAGTTTTCCTCCGGCTGTCTATTCAATATCTATGTTTTGGAGTCAACTCAGTGCGCTCTCCAGTATTTCGTCTACGACAAAATTGAACAGGAACGGCGAAAGAGGGCACCCTTGACGAACGCCGCTGCTGGTGACGAACAGACTACTTAGTTCGTTGTAAACCCTTACACGACCAGAGGTAGGTCGGTACAGTAACCACAGTAGGTTAACGCACTTCTAGAGCATTCCTTTTCGAAGAAGGAAACCCATCAGAGCTTCGCGGTCAACTGAGTCGAAGGCACCTTTCAGATCGAGGAACACTGCGATCGTTGGTCGATCGTGGGTATGACGCAACTCAATGACCTGAATTAACGCAAAAATTTGATCAATACCTCCACGGCCAGGCCGGATTTTCGCATTTGTTGCGAGATCCTTTCTTGAAAAAAGTAACGATCAATGATTCGCCCCCAGATGAAGGAATGCGCAATTGCGTCCAAATGTTGTGCACTAGGGTAGTAATAGAGTTAACGAGGTTATAACCCCTCCCCCATCTTGAGAAGAGTGGGAGGGAACTCATCCGGTCCTGCTGCCTTTCATCGCTAGCTTGAATGCTCTGTTTCTGCTGGAGGATCGCATGACATTGGCCACGGAGCTTCAGTTGCAGATAAAGTAACCTGGTTAGCACTAGGCCAATTCGCTGAAGTATCCGGACCAGCGAACAAGTCGTTCATTCCTATTGTGAATAGCCTTTCTCATCTTATCCCAGACTGTTTCACTAAGTAGAATTCACCGACCTCCCGTATTGCGTATGTCAGAACATCCTTTGACTATTCCATGATACAGCTGCCACGTCCATTTCACTAGCTATTGTTGCCCACCGCTACAACCTAAAACACTTGGGAACACTAAGAAACAGAAGATGGGATTATCGAATACCTAAACACTGATGTACCAATCCCCGTCAATAGCTATTTGATACCAAAAACGTTACAGCTTCCGAAAGCCTCAGTATGGTTGGGAGTGGGTGTCTTCGGCTGCGGGTGGTCACCCCCCCCCCCTTGCAACTCTAGAAATGCTCGTATAAGACCACGCATCCCAAATATCCTCTGCTGAGGAAGCCCCACTCATTGGCCTCTTCGCAGATACGGCGTCAAAATAACCATGTCTTTAACGCAAAATATAGAAACAGAAATGGGGAACGGCCAACTTTGGGAGTTTTTGTTTACTACAGGCCATTTTGAGTTTTTTCGTTGTTTGGGGATCGCACATAAAAAAGGATGCATTCGCGCTACTGACTTCGGTTTGATGCTATATCCAGCCAAAGACAATCTGAATCTTTGGGGTCCCAGCCGGAGAGGCCCAACGGAAGCCAGATCTGAGCAGTCTCTTTAACCCTCTACACCACGTCACAGCCTACGCGCCTCGCTATTTCTTCCAGCCTGGACCAGAGTCTGCGAATAGTGCATGGCATGGCAGACGTTGGTCAGGCATTCGTAGGACGTGCCCCAGCCACCTGAGATGATGCAATGAAATTGTTTTGCTCAATAGAAGACTATCTGATCCTAACACACGTTGTCTGACCTCATCGTCATTCACGCCATGCTCCCGCCATGCGAAGGACAACGGTTGTCGAAGACATAATCGTTGAACATGATCTGCTCGGAGAAACAGTTTTCGCAGCCATAGAGCAACACAGCGCGTGCCGTTACGAAATACAAACGCCCTTTCAGTGAGAGGCATGTCGCGCCGGCGCAGGAGATGCCGCAGATTAGCAAACGCTAGTCCAGCTTCGATCACACATTGAGATATCTGATCGCCCAAGCCTCCGTCAGCCGTTATGCAACTCTAGGGTGACAGTACCCAAAGCAAATGCAGGAAGGGATTCCTGCCAAGCTTGCAACAACACTTAGCACTCTGAAGGTGCAAAGGACATATCATAACGAGTAACCTGAATTGCCAAACGATCCAGCAACCCTTGAATCATCGATGAGTTGTCAACGACTCTGTCTCCAGGACGAAGCTGGACGTAAGCGCTCGTTATGTAGCGCATTTTGTAGAACATCATCTACGGCAAAGTTAAAGAGAAACGGAGATAAGAAAACCCTGTCGTACCCCACTGGTGACAAGAAATAAGGATGGAAGTTCACCATAGGCCTTAACATTCCCCGAAGTCTGGTGGTAGTGCTTTTAGAAATAGAACAATCTTCTCCGGCAATCCGTATGTCCGCAAATAATTCCGCAGTGAGGAATGATCGACGGAGTCGAAGGCCGCTCTGATGTCCAAAAACACGACAGTGCTTCGTCGTCTGTGTGCGTGGCGGTGTTCTTATAGCTGACGGAGGGTGAACATTTGATCTACACAACCACGGCGTGCAAGAAACTCGGGCTTCTCCTAGTGGATTTGCTTTTCACGAAATGGGCTTAGTCTATGTAATAAAACACGTTAGCAGATTCAGCGCTATTGGAATCAGACTTATGACCCTTTGGTTAAAGCAGGCCTTGCGACAGCTCTTCTTGTAGACGGGTAACAGTCGATTCTACCAATACGTGGGACACATTTTCGGTTGCCCAGATTTTAGAGAACAGTCACACAAGCTCCGTCATCAGATATTCCCAACATCTTTAAAGGTTTTTCAGCCAAAGTGAGAGACATTCATGGAGCCGTCTTATCCTCTCCAAGGAGCCAGTCGTAGTAAATTTAAGTAAAATGGGAGGACGGAAAGCCAATATCCAGGTTGGTGAACGACTGCAATTCACCTAAGGCAGTTGGTTAAATACCCTTATCACAAACCAACGAATAAAAGGCGTAAGAACCACGCACACACCTTCCAGATCGTTTTGGTGGGCATCAAGGTGTATTTGGTAATTCATACTTTTGACCCCGTCCAAAAGGCGTATGATCCGATAGACTGGACACTGGATACCTGGATACCCTCAGGTTAAACAGAGTTGAATGCTACTAAGCGCGTCCCCAGGTTGTGGATAGGGGGATACCTTCACCGAAGGTTAGCTGTGATTAAGTTGTGGCATACCGCAACAAATAAGCAGTGGCGAACAAACAGTGGCGGCACTAGCACAGTGTGGTGGGTTTCAGGCTGGTCACCTGTCTCCTGTTTAAAAGGGACACAATCCCAACGACGGTGTCGTGACAAAGGTCGATGTGACTGGCCTTTTAAAAGTAGTCAACGAACCCCTCACTTCCGGGGCGAGGGATTACTTCCTGTTGCCTTGCATTTCGCACTTGGCTGTGCAAAGGCTAGAGATGCGCCCTCAAAATAAAAAACGCCGGGTGACGCTGGGGACGCCTCTTGTACCAAACCAACAGGATATCCATGATCATGATTGTCAGGAGCCGGCCTATCCTTCCCAAGGAGCCAGCCACAGAGAAGAAAAAGAGCACTGGCCCCCGAAGGATTGCGGTTTTCAGAGCCAGTCCATTGAAGAATCAATGCTATGATTCGATGTGGGTTAGATGCTAATAACCGCAACAAACGTAACCTGATGGTCTCAAAGAGCTATCTATCCGATGGTCACCAGGTGCTGCAAACAAGATTGTGTCGAAAATACAATTCCTGGGTACAGGTATATGAATGAACTGACAAAAGATTACCGGATACGCACGCCTGACGAGCGGCAAGAACCGCAAAACTGGTTGTGCTTCCAGGGAAATTTTGTCTAGTCAATCACATACTACTTATTATATGTAAATATATCACTGTACCATGATTTGTTTGGCACAGTTTGAACGCAGACGCGCGAAAAAATAAAAACAAACGGTATACCGAAAACTTGATTAGCCATGAACCCTTACAACCTGCAGTTCATTATTTCACTTGATACATCTGCACATCTGCTTAGGCTTTCTCTACCGGTGCAAAACGTAGCTGAGATGTGGGATAGTCCTTAGAACAATTTTTGTCATATCTACTTTCTCAGACCAGTGCTGAAAAGGGAAGTGAATCATCGTCGGAATTCGCGTTGTTCACCACGTTCCTTACAGTTTCCTTTTTACATTGTAGCTTATATCCCGTTAATGAGATGAAAAAAAGCCTAGTAAATAGGCCCCTTTCGTTCTCCACTCTGGATTGCCGATTGATTCAAAAATTCATTGCAATTGTCTGCTCAGGACTATAGTTGTTTTACCATTTCACATGCAGTGTCTACCGCTGTCTTCTCTTTCGCCCTGTCCATAACTCTACGTGGGCTCTTCCCTATTTCATTTATCAGTTAATGGACTTGTTAAACAGTGAATTTTGTGCGTGACAGCATATATCGGTTTCTTGGAACATTTGCTCCCGCACATGACCTTTTCAAGCATAAGGATCATCAACACCCCGATAATCCTTAAGGTGGCTTCCCATCTTTATTTTTTGTTGAGACCACGACCAACAAGGTTTGATAACCCAAAAGTGTGTGAGTAATTCAATATCAGAGCAGCCGGCAACACATCTAGCTGAAAGCATGATGTTCCCGGGTCGCACATTGCCCTGTGTAATTATGTATATGTAAGCATATTATATATGTGGATCACCGGTTTGCAAGCAAGATTGGTGCGAACGCAACACCAAGTATAACGGAACATGGGATTTGGGGTAGCAGACAGTGAAGCTGAACAACTTAACTGATATATGGCCATAAAATAGATATTTTTCTATACAGAAGACTTCAGTTATCAGAAAATTACCAGCACTAATTGGCACGACCAAATAACGCATAAGCTTACCACATTTATGGCATCTGCGCCGAATAGTCGTTCACCATCCCTGAATCCCACGGCTACCGGTGTTTTCCGCTGAGCACGCCTAAAAACTTGTTAGAAGCGTAGTACCATACTTACCCATCGAGAGCGACTTCCATGGGAACCTTTGGCTGAAAATAACAGCAGGATAAAGTAGTGAAGTGGGGACTCACCAACACAACTGCGATCTTCATCGAATCAGACCCCAAATCGATCGCCATGGACGAGAGCGCAGCTGAGAAGACTAAAGGCTTCAGAAAATAAAAACTTACTTGATTCAGTAAAAAACAAGACAGGGAGCAGAAGGACAACAAGAAAACGTAGTGGAGGACCCATGATCGACGATGGGAGGTCAGGCAACGACACGTGTAATCGGGGTCAGGCCTAAGGCGCGTTGGCCAACTATGATTGGTCGGTTCGATTACACGGGTTATAAGTCACCAATTTAAACAAATCGTCAGGTCCCCTTAGGCCAAGTATAACAGGGAGAAAAAGGCTTTCGCCAATGAAAACGCAAAAATCACGTTCAAGCCATTCCATTATATATTCATGCACCCTCTTCGATAATTGTAGTTTCCCCTTTTCCTTCAACGCCTTGACCTTGACGGCGTATGGTTCGAAATTCTCTCGTGGTTGCTGAGTTTGTCTTAGTTGTGTTCAAATAAGTGTTCATATTAGTTCTTCCATCATACGTATTGTTATATTATTATTGTTTTCGTAGGATATCATTCTGTTATAGATTTAATAACCATAAGATTACTAGGTTGCATTGATTTCTCGCAACGCAGCTATTCTCACCTCATAGTAATTAGACAAATGGTTGTTAGGAGCATCAAAACAAGAGGGAGGGTGAACACCTGTACTCGTAGACCGAAACTGTTCCCATGTGTTACCCAAGGTTGGAACCAGGAGGTGCTCGACGGCATTTGTTGCGATGTTTGCAGCATTTGTACCACCAGAAGTGTAGTGCCCTAGCTAAAAGGGTGCACGGGCTCTATACTGAGCACAAATTCCTGAAGTGTGTATGTTCTGCCTGTGTTAGAACGTGGAGAGAGACCGCATTATTGGAGGGGACCCCGCGGATAGCTTCTGAGTCATTGCAGTCGGCCCCGAGAAATGCTACTGTGATACGACGCAGAAATAACACTGCAGCTGATAGAGAGGTGTCGCACAGTAGAGAAGCTTTGAATAGGTTTCAAAAGGATATTGATGTCTGAGTAGCTCGGGCAATGAAGCAGGAAGGGAAGCTGGTGCAGCTACAACAGGAGTTGAGTCGGTAGTGGCGTGACATCCCAACTATTAGGATTTCTAAAAACGATCGATTTTACAACGTACTTTAGAAAAAGCGATCTCGAATTCAGCCGAAATGGAACAGATATTTTTTGGCTGATTCTGAGTGATTTGTTAAAATTTAATTTGTTTTAATTAACCTTAATTGACTTTGTCCGGAAAGTATAAATACCATAACCTAATTCCGACGATCACTTTCACGCTCGTACCAACGAAACGGTCGTTTTTGAACGGATGGTAAAAGATTGCTGTGGATTGTTGGACAGATTCTTGAAGGACTTCCGTGAATTCCAATGGGTTACTTGTAATTCCTTCTACGTTTATGAGTCAATGACAGCCGAACAACTGATACGGGGAAGAAGGTTTGGTTGGAAACTAACCCTGTTTGAGGATTTTCCGTATTGTTTCATTAAGTATTGCTGTGTACATCACAGAAGGCGCGGTGCAATTGCAACCAGGCAATTATGCGTCTCATTTCTAATGTATTTAACCCATTTTAGGCTGCAGGATATCGACTGCAAGGCATTCGTTGGAATTCGCGCGGTCGAGAGGGAGTTCAGAGTGATGAAACGTTGGCTGATGCACAACTATGACTTCCATGTGAGTCAGCGAGGTCTGTATATAAGTAATCGTCGTCTACTTGGAGAACAGGAAGAGGAAGTGTGTACTTTGATGGACAATTTTAGAAGTACTCGCGAGCGAAGGGATTTCGCCACACACAGGTTACAGAGACCCTTAACTACGGCAGATATAAGACCCATACGTCGAAGAAGTTCTCAGTCGGATTCACGTGGTGATGCGGTAAAAGTTACGGATATGCTGGAGAATCAGAGAGAGGTCAGGATAGAGCTGATCGGAGGCGTCGTTCGTCACATTTATTTTGTTCCTAAGATTATGTTGCACTGCGTCGACAGGTTTAACGATGTTTTGTTAGCGGACGCCACACATCAGCTAAATTGTGGCGAGTATGTGCTTTGGCATGCTATGCTTGTAGATGACACCGGTTTAGGTCGAAGTTTCTTCTACGCTATCTTGCCGAATGAGAGCAGTGAGAGCTATAGGTCTGCTGTGGGAACCATGAAATCTATGTGCCCAGTCTTTACACAATGCAAGACTATAGCAGTTGATCGTATCTTGGCTCAGTACGACGCGTTTCCAGGATACTTTCCGTCATCTAATGTGATATTTTGTCGTTTCCATCTCGTTAAGGATATGAAGAAGAAATGTAGCCAGCTATCTGGTATTCCAGCGTTCGAAAAGCAGCGCATCTTTCAATGGATGCACAACATGGTGTATTCTGATAGTGATATATCGTTTCGTAGATTCCTAGCCGCCGTAGAAAGTCGTAGCACAGGAGCAGGTGTTTATTTACGCCGAAATTGGTTACCATACCGAGAGCAGTGGGCAGAGTATGCTGTGAGGACTAGTTTGACTTTAGGAAACCTAAATACCAACCGAGTGGGGACGGGAAATAGGCACCTCAAGATAGGCTTGTCTCCTCGGCCTTCATTAGTTGATATATCAAAGAAAGTGCTACAACGAGTAAGGTCACTGGAAGTGACGCATGGAATTCGCCTTGCTGAAGATTTCCTGAGGGGGTATCCGACACCCAGCGGAATGCAGTCGTTTGAACCGTTGCTTATACGAATAACACCATTCGCGCGGAATATATTATTAAGTAACTGGAAGTCAGGCAAGATTGAATTGTTCACGAGAGAGGGTTCTCCTTGGTCGTGGATAGTAAGAGCAAGGGTTATAAATCAGTTACCGCAGGGGAAACGATGTGACTGTTATTTCTGTGCGCAATGGTTGTTGCCTTGCATGCATATAGCCAGGGTATTTGATCTGATTTGTTGGGATATTCACAGTACTATTTCCGATAGGTGGATTACGAACCGCAGCGAAAAGCATTAAGATCAAAACTCCACTGTGGTGATAGCGGCCTCAAGAAACGTCATGGGTAAGCCATCCAATTTGGCTCAGATAGACGATATCCTTCAAGAGCTGGGCGTCTCTTTGAATAGTTTAGGTACAGTGAATTACAATTTTCAATGCAATCAACTTGGACGTTTAGCAGCTATTATAGGGTAGTATCCGGACATTCAGATATTATTCGATAGACAGCTTGGCAACAGACTACGGAGATTAAGCTTACCTATCTTTCGTCTATGAGCGTCAAGGTGAGAACTAATAATCCACCAGTAGCTTCAACAAGCGGTTCGACTGAAAGGCGGAAATCAGTTTTAGTGAGTCGATCAGACGACAGTGTAGACGACGAAATAGTCCTAGGTGACTGTGGTGATTCGGATCTACGAGATCACGCCTGCACTGGAGCAGCGCGGTGCAGTTCCGGACATTGGTAGTCAATCGACCTTGAGCGCTGATGCCAGTAGCAACGCGATACAGTTTCCGGACATTGGTAGTCAATCGACCTTGAGCGCTGATGCCAGTAGCACTGTCATAGTCAATCGACCTTGAGCAATGACGCCAGTAGCACGTGCAAAGCCTCCGGATACACGTATTGGTGGGCCGTTCCAGCCAATCAGATACAATGCAGAGAAGAGCAATATGACGCAAGATATGATGCAGTATTATTGGTGGGAGCTAAGGTAGCCAGTGATCTTTTCTTGGGTACATATATGTTCACTTTCATTTCCTTAAATAAACGACTTTGTGATTCGCCTGTCTTGCGGTACATATATATTCACCTTCATTTCCTTCAATAAACGACTTTGTGATTCGCCTGTCTTGTGGCTCTTCCTCGATTTCGATCCTGCAGGTTATTGCGAGTTCGAGCCATTGCGGTCCAGTGCCATCGGTTTTCTAATTCGTGTTCCGTGATTCCTATTGCGCAGTTAGTGTCCTGGATTCTGCGCGTAACTTCACTACTACTACTTCTACTACTATTACAGTGACCCACTGGAACATGCTGTGTTCCGCAGACTGACCACAACAACGTCAGCGAAGTACAAACTGGACGCTAAACACCGAAGGCAAACAAATCCGACATCACCGATATAGGCCAACTGTTGCAATCTGCAAATCTGCGTGAAATACGGTCGATTTGGACGATGGGCAACACTGAATCTAGTGCCATAAATGCGGGCGCCGAACACACAGCAGTTGCGCTGCTTACAGTGGAGAGGAAGCTTACGTTTATGTGCATTGCCTCAGTCGATGAGCGTGGACGTCAAAAGCCCGAAATGACTGAAAACAGCCTTTTTAGGACCACGCAAATTTGATTTATTTTTCTTTGGGCTATTAATCCTGTTCACGGCATATGATGTCGGTATTGATTCCAATTGAGATCGGAAGTTGTGGGGGCAATACTTCCTTCGTTTCCGAGTCAATTCTCAGGTGGAATGAACACGTGGATGGGAGAAAATTGGCAGATTAGTCGACGGGCACGCGGTTTTAAGAGTTTTATGCTATGCTCACGACGTTTATTGATATCACAGACCCCGTCGAAAAAGTCAGTTAGTTTCAGAATAGCTTTTGACAGTTATGTGGAAGGTGCAGTTCTTATTGATGGAGTTTAGCTCGTTTCAAAATTTCACTATGGAACACTTCGAAAGCTGTCAAAAAGGTTGTTTTATTTCGTACTCGTCGATGATCTTGAGCTGAAAGTTTCAGAATATTATTTAGAATAGCTTTTGACAGTTATATGGAAGGTGTAATTCCTAAAGATTTGGTATTGGTAGATCTTCCTTCCGAGAACATCATTTAAATCAACGATTAATTTTTTTAATTATTTTAAGTAAAATAAATTTCCCTTTAATTTTTTGGTTGTTTGCTGCCTCATTGAAACCGGCGTTATGTTTAGGGTCTTTAATAAGCGAAATAATTTTTGAGCAATAGTGGTCTTCAGTTGGGATTTTTTTCATGGCTTGGAGAATGGGGATCGATCAAATGACCTTGAACTTTTTGAATG